CCACCAGGCACCCGGCATGTCAGGGTGGATGGGCTTTTTAGCAACACATGTCTAGTGTAGGAGGGTAGCACTCTGCCGGGCCGCTGCTGTGCTTTGGGGGTGTCCACAGCTTCGGGGCCTCCACCCTCCAGGGGCTGCTGGTAGGGGGATCCCTACCAGCAACGTTTCCTGCTTTGACAGGTGTGGGAGGCAAAAGACGTTTTCACTGAGAACCACTGAGGAGCATACTCTTCTTCAGAGCCCCTGGCACCCCTAAAACTAGAGCACTCCTGTTGCTCCAGGGATTGCAATTTGTCTATCCGGTGAAGAGGAGAGCAGGGGAGATTCACCAAGGGCCCCGGGGCGTCCCGCTACCAAACTCAAGCACAGGTCCCGGGCTGCTTCTCATCACCCAGCATCCATGCCCCTTCTGGAAACTTCCTGCTCCCTGCAGCCCCCCCTTCCCATCCCACCAGCTCTGCAGCCAAACAGGCCCAGGGAGCCACATCTTTTGGAAGGCCCTCTGCAGGTGGCCTTCTGGGGGGACATGACCCAGACACACCATGTCTAGTATCTCAGAAACTCAAAACTCTGTTTCCAGCAGTGGCTTCGCAGACGTTCTTTGATGACTGGGCAGGGGACACGGGAGAGCAGGGACACAGAAGCCACCACGCCACGACAGGCGAGCTCGGATAGGAAGTCAATAAACAGGAGAGGGAGGGTGAAGAGCTTGCTGCCAGCCCCACTGCACCCCGACGCAGCTCCTGGTCCTCAGGAACCAGAGCCAGGCCCTGCCACGGCTGTTGCTTCAGAAACATGGAAATGACCCAATAACCTCTCCTTCCTGGGGAACACAGCGTGAGGTGGTGGACAGGCCTTAGGGGTGCGGTCTGAACACCGGCTGGGTCATGGCCACAGGGGGAAGGTGTCAGGACAGGTGCAGTACAGGGAGCTGCCATGCTTGCTGGGTTGGGCTCCCCACATGGGAGGGGTACGCACATGAGCTGTGCTGGGCAGGGTGGGGTGGACGTGGGGGGCTGCGGGGAAGGCACACGCCAGGGCCAGGCTCTGAAAGTGGCCGAGGGGGTGGTAAGAGACACCCTGGCGCCTGCAAACCCCTCTCGCTGCAGAGAACTGACTCCCTTCTCCAAGCTGCGTGGATGAGTCTGATGCCATCGAGGCTGCCCCGTCAGTGTGCCCGTCTTTAGGTTCTGCCCTGGGTCATCCCTGCTTCTGACAAACACAGCATGAGGCCCAGCCACGGGTTGGTGGCCACTGGTGGATTCTCTACTTCCGTGTCTTCACTACCATGGTCATTTCTTCTAAACGCTTGTCTTAATGCAGTTTGCCATTACTAATAACAGCCCCCCCCCACCAATAAGCTAATAGTGCACACTGGGGGGCTCATACTGATGTGGAATTTTTTAGAACGGATTTTGAAAGGGAAAGTAGAACTGAAAGGACGGTCCAGAGGAGGAAGCCTGCACCCCACCCCCTCCCGTGCTCTCCCCCCATCTGCGTCCCTCCCCCACCGACAGGAACCTACCTGGACTGTCCTTACACAGAGCCCACGGTTGACCTTCAGTTTCACTCTTGACGTGAAGACCTGGATGCACCTTCACAGGCTTATACCGGGAGTTCACTGACCCAGACGCCTCCGTGTCTCCCACTCCCCACGCTGCTCGACCCCTCTGTGTCGCTGTGGTTCTGCCTTCCCCACAGGTGTGGCATCCTTGAGGACAGCTCCCCTCGCTTAGCGGGGTGTGTGTGTGTGTTCATCAAGGACCACTGATTTGTGTCCTTGTGTTTTGATATCACAGGAGCTCCCCCTTCTGGTGCGGTCCAGTGGCCCCCCGTCACCAAGCACCAGAGTCTTACACAGTTCATTGTGCACCCCAGCCACACGCACACCCCTCCCCTGCCCCCAAAGTGTACAGACCACGTGACTCTACAGACATTGACTGTCCAGACCAGCCCCGCCAACTTCATATCCTTGGCCACGGCACAGACGCCACTGCCTTCCTGAAGTCTGTCCCTCCTGGGGTCAAGCGCAGACCCGGGCTGGAATGGAAGAGCAGGTGAGGCAGGCACTTTTACTTCAAGGGAAAGATGAAGAACTCAGAGCATGGGATCCTGGGAGCAGACGCGCCTCCACTCCAGCTCAGTTTTGGAGAAAATAACCAGCATTTCCTTAAGAGCAAAAGGTTATTTTTAAGACTTTTTTTTTTCCAGTAAAAAGACCTCTCTGGTAGCATAAAAAGGAAGGTGTGTACAGGAGTGAAGATGTCTTACCTGTGACAGTGACTTCCTGGGCTGTGCTCCCCTCAACTGGCTGCAGACCCCCTACCTGCTCTTCCAGTATCCCACCCCCTGAGGGCTTTGCTGCTTCCAAACAAACGTGTCTCCACACTGCTGCAGTTCAAGGGTGAAGAGGCTTTTTGGAGCAGGATGAATGCATCAGAATAAAAGCATCAGATGTAGCAATTAGTCCACTGGTTTCTACAGAATATCACCAGTTGCTAGACAGCAGGGCTGTGAGGATGCCGAAGGAAAGCCCTTTGTGGGGTGACCTGCCTCGGCAGGCCTTGGAGAGCACTTGACCTGGTTCTGAAAGAAGTAGCCTAATATGGAGGTGCTGGCACAGCTAGAGCGGGGGGCCCAGGGGCCCTGGTGACCGGTAACCCCGAACTGGGCGATGCTATTTCTCTGAAAAGCTGTCTTGACTGCAGCTCCAAAGGCAGTTTTGATTTTCTCTCCAGTGTCCCGGAAGAGGATTCAGGAGCTGCCAGAGGGGAGAGGGGGGTGGTTCCCCAAGTGCTGAGTGGGCTGTGCATGCCACAGGTGGACGCAGGGGAGATGGAAGCACAGAGATAAGTGCAGCCCCAGACTCGCTGGCTTGGGTTTTCCGGACACGTTTGAAAGGCCAGGGCAAGCAGCCGGGCTTCTCAAACTTTGCTGAGTTAGCGGTGGGGTCACGTTAGCCTCCTGGACCCGGGGAGCAATGACACCTACGTGACACCCCCAACAATGGATGTACAAGCTCATGGGGGCATTTGAGGGAGGGCAGCTTTAAGCAGCAAGGAGCTGCTGGCTGTCCTGCAATCAATGTCTGTGATGGATGTCGGGGCGCAGGGGACCCCCTATCCCATCTGGGTTCTTCTGAGGTGGACCAAAGAACCAATTAGCATCAGACAAATTAGTAGGAGACCAAAACTGGATGACACTTATGTGGTTGTAAATTCTAAATATTGGAACAAACCAGAGGTGTTTGTCCTGCATCTAGACCTCGGGCCTCAGGGCAGAGGGGGAAACCACAAGACAGCAAGAAGCAGTGACTTCCTCTTTACTCTGAAAGTAGAGGTGGGTGTCTCAGGCAGAGAACATGTGTTTACTGCTGACCTCTGCTCTCCTGATGGCACCCCAGCTACATTCTTCTGAGTCACAAAAGGAAAGCAATGATGGGTTCCCCAATTAGGGAACAGGGCAAAGGAGAAAAGCTTCGTGCTCTCACCTTAAAGTAACCTGTGTTCGTTGAGCCATGATGGACCCCACATGGACAGAGAAAGACAGGGAGATGGATGATGTTCCTTCCTTCCTCAGGGCTGAGTCCCCCATCTGGCTGAGCTCATAGCCCATGTTTACAGACTCCGGTGCCTTCCAGGCCACCTTGCTGAGCTTCTGTTGCTGCCAGGTGGGCCAGTTCCTCCCGAGTGGAAAGAGATGCAGGTGTCACACATGCCTCCTGTTCCTCATGGTCTTGTAAAATACTCTGGGCAAGATAAAACCCATTTCAGCATGAGTAAGCCATTGGCAGTGACTCCTAAGTTGCCCTCTTTCTTTAGACTTGATTTAGGAGATGTTTCACCATGTGAAAGGTTTAACAATATTGTTTACATAAGCAAATGTAACTTTAAAAAAATTGTGTTTGGACTTTGAGTCATAATTAGAAAACATTTTCTACATCCATGCTTAGAGCAATTCATCATTTTTTTCTCTTAGTACTGAAACATTCTCATTGCCCTAAATCTGGCTTACAGCCTTGTGGGTGGTGTGAGGCAGGGATTGGATTTGATTTATCCTTCTCCCATAAAGTCAGTGGATTCTCCCAGCTCCATTAATTGCAGTCTGTCTTGGCCTCAGGATTTTGGGGGCCACTTTTGTCACATCCTGAATTTCTGTCTGGACATGTGTTTATGTGTGAATTCTTTTTTTTTTTTTAATTTTTTTTTTAAAGATTTATTTATTTGTGCATACAGAACTGGGGTATACAGGCCAGAGGCTCAAGGGTGGCGAGAAGCTTCACCAGAGACAGAATGGGGAACAGAACAGGCAGATCGACGAAGTACACTGCTGAGGGGAGCAGCGGGCGAGTCAGGAGAGGTCTGCCACGCCATGTGGTCACCTCCGGGGCAGGCGGGAATCGAACTCATGCGGAAGTGGCTTTAGCTTCTTAGTGCTGTGCTTTAACCCGCTGCGCCACCAGGGAGGGCCTATTTGTGAATTCTTATTCCATTGTTCTGTTTTCCTGCTCATGTACCATGCAAATGAGTTATCGGTAGACCTGCTTGCCGGCATCCTATACTTGATCTTAGCCAAAAGGCCGAGAAGTGATTGCTTGCCAGCATCCTGAAACGTTCCACTGTGTGAAACTGCCTGTCAACACTTCTTAGCCTGCAAAACTCTCCATTTCACCTGCCCCAGCCCCAACACATGTGTCACATGCAGGCTGATGCCAGAGTGGGTCTCTCCAGCCACATGGTCTGGGCACACCCACCGTGTTCTCCATTTGCTCTGTACTCAGTCACTTCCAAGGCATCCATGAATAATCCCATTGTTGTCTTTTCCTCCCTTGCAGTGATAGAGGGCCGTGGGGTCACGGACAGCGTACAGAGATTGTCCTCATTGCCCCCATACCTGCCGGTCAGCTACCGCATCCTCAGATCAGAGACCTCCTTCTTCCTGAAAGAGACCAGCCAAGACCCCCAGCGCAACTGCAGCCTACAGACCAGGGTGGAGTCCTTCTTTACCTACAGGGCCCAGAGGCCCCCAGTCCTCAATGCCACCTATGGGCCCTTCTCTGTGGAAAAGACAGTACCGCTGGACTTGATGGTCACTTCCAACTTTCTGGGCCCGACAGACACATTTCCTCTCAACTGGCGGCTTCGCGCCCACATCCTGCGGGACAAGGTCTACCTGAGCCGGCCCCGGGTGCAGGTGCTGTTCCACCTGGTGGGCCGGGACTGGGCCGAGCGCGGCCCCGGGGAGGCGCTGCCCTGCCTGCGGCTCTTCGCCTTCCGGGAGACCCGAGAGGTGCGGGCCGGCTGCCGGCTGCAGGGGGCCCTGGGGCTGTGCGTGGCCGAGCTGGAGCTGCTGGCCGCCTGGTTCAGCCCCCCGACGGTGGTGGCAGGCCGGAGGAAGGTGGGGATCCCCGCCGAGGGCAGCCCAGTGGAGCTCTACTACAGCCTGCAGCCGGGGGACACCCGGGGGGACTGCGGCGCAGGGGGCGTCAGGAAGGGGAATGCCATCCGCCCAGGCAAGGACGGGCTGGAGGACGCCATGGGCCAGCTGCAGAGAATTGGTGCCGTTGGCCTGTTCCAGGGCCAGGACAGCGCCTTGCTGAGAGAGCTGCACTTGGACAGCAACGTGGCCATCCGGCTGCCATCCACGCCCGTCAAGCAGGGGGATGTGGTCACAGCCTACGTCACCATTGCCAGCAATTCCACTGTGGACCTCTTCATCTTGAGGTAGGCACCCAACCCGGTGGCCTTGGCTTGCCTAGCGTGAACATGGCACGTGGCGGGGGGGTGGTGTCCATCCTCAGGGGCCCAAATGAACCGAGTCACCACCTGCCAGCCCCTGCCCTCGCTCTGCGCGTGGTGTGGAGGAGGAGGTAGGCTCCGGGGTGGTGGGTGCAAGGGAAGCAAGACGGGGCTCACCGGCCTCTAAGCTTGAGTCCCCAGGCGTTCACCTGTTTTGGTTTGCTCCGAAACGCCTGGGCCAGCCCTCACACAGCAGTGTGGCCGCTCAGGAGGAGAAGTAGCTGTTGGGAGCCTCTGGTGTGAGTGTGGAAGCGCCAAGGCAGCAGCTCCATCCCCTTTGCGTGGGGGCTTACAGGCTGGGGTGAGTCTGGCTCCCAGTGAGGAGGGCTCTTCCCAGCAGAAGCCCACCCAGCGGCGGCTTCCCCTTCACTGAAGAACCTAAAATAAAGCAAGAAAGCTGCAGAATAGCTCACCCGTCATGTCCATGGCTTGGATAGTTGTTCCTGGGTGATGGTTCTGAAGTTTAGTACAGGGGTGTCTTATCCAGAGTGCCCAGACCTGGGGGAGCCGGGAGTAAATCCTCTCCAAACCTGGACCAGGACTTCCTAATTATGCCGACGTGTTTGGCTGAGGTTTGTTTAAAAGATGAAATGATGAAAGCCAGGTCTCTGGTCTATTTGGGAAGAAGGACTTAGTTCTGGAGGCCGCGAGGCCGTGGTTTTCTTTGAAGAGTGAAAAAATAACAACCACATGTTGGACGAGTTGCTTGGGAAACCTCGCCAAGTGGAGTCACAGCATGCTTGAGCAGATTTTGTTTCGGCTTAACATTTGAGCGTGGCTCTGAGGTCGGTCTTGGGAGAGGTCTGGAGCACGTGTGTGTGGCGCTGGGAGAGGTTCCGTGCCAATCTCCGTCCTTGGGGTCACGCCGGCCTCTCTGCCTGTCTGGTTGCCATCATCACCCTCATTTTTCTTCTCTGAGTGGACTGACTTTACCAGATGCTTCTTCTTTGCCCTGGTTTTGGGACCAGGCAGGAGAGCTTTATGATGTCGTATTTTGCGAGGTCACAGAATCCTACTGTTTCTCTCTGTTTGAAATGGGCCTTCTGGGTCTAGCCCGAGTCACAGCCCACCTTTGGCCACTGGGTAGCCGCCATCAGAGTGAGAACAGAGAGCCTTCCCCGAGGACTTTGGCCACTTAAATGCCGTGACTTTATCCAGGTGGCGAGGACAGTGGGCATTTAGAAGAGGATCCCGGCAGATCCTTCTCAATGGGGAAAACTTTCGAGGTTGTAAGATTCCTGTTTCGCTTCCACTAAGCCCCATTACCCCCTGAGCTCATGTCATTCCCTCGTACAGTAGACACGTGCTATTGGCTTTGCAATGCAGAAACAGAGCCACTAGCCAGTTCAGGTTTCAGAGGCCTCACAGTCTCTGTGTTTAGCCTTAACGCTCGTCTTCAGGGGCAGGCTCTGAGCTTGGCCAGGGTGAGCTTGACTGAAGTGCCAGCCCTGCTGTCCAGGGCCAGGTTTTCTTATGCAGGGTGGGGGGGGGAGGGATGGATGCTGTCTATCCCCACCCGGAAGGTGTGGTGGTGGGCACGTGGGTTCCTGTACCCACCGGCTCTGGCTCCAACTGGTGTCTCTTCTGGTTGTGCAACTTAGGCGAGTCCCTGGCTCCGCGTGCCTCAGTTTCCCCACCTATAAGCAGAGGTGATCACTGCACCTCCCAGCACAGGGTGTAAGGACCCCATGGGCCAAGGCTGTTTTGGAAGGTGCTTATAACTGCATCAGGCTCCCAAAAGCCTTGCATGGATGCTGAGTGTGCTGAGAGAGTTGTTTTTAAGCATCCATCAGACCTTCAATAAGCACTGAATTCCATCTCAGCAGTAAAAGGCGTCGTGCCTGGTATAAAACAACAGCCACCAGGTTTATCCTCAAAGCAGTATTGATTCTCACTTCACCGTGATTTTGTTTAAAGAGCAATTTTTTTTTTTATAACAAGAGCTTTTGGAACACAGAGGGTAATAACAGCATGTTCTGGGTTGTAAGACACCCAGATTAAAGGGTGTTGCTTGCTTCCAGCAACAATGGAAAACAGCCAGCCCGATGAGAAAATGAGCAGAAGACCCAAATAGACATGTCTCTAGAGAAAATGATCAGGGGGCCATACACTCAGGGAAACATGCCTGTCTTCACTCATTGTCAGGACATGCAGATCGGAGCCAAGTAGGGGCTCCTTCCACGACAAAAAGCCCCTGTGCAAGGTGGTATGGAACTTCCTTTTAAAGCTGAAAATATAGAATTAACATATAACCCAGCAATACCACTCATAGGTATTTATTTGAAAAATAAGAAAACAGTACCTCACACTGACAGTTGCACCCTGTGGCCACAGCAGCCAGGACCTGGAGTCAGCCTCACTGCCCAGGCAGTTGTGTGGAGGCAGGTGTGCCAGGGAATACTACTCAGCTCTAAAAAAGATGTGCTCTGCTGTAACACAGATGAGATTTGTGATGTTTACGTCAATCGAAGTTGGAAAGTAAAAGGTTGCGGGGTGTCTGTTTTCAGGTGTAGGCTATAAATCAGGCTAACAAAGCACAACACAAATAACTCATTGACTATGGTTCCCAGAGAGGCAGGGAAAGAGGTGAGAGGAGAGGGCAAAGGGGTGAGTTAATAGTGGAAGTTAGAATCTTATGGTGACGCATATTAAAGGGTGAAGCTGCTACATCAATGCAATTTTATTTATTTATTTTAAAGATTTATTTATTTATACATACAGAGCTGGGGTACAGGTCAGAGGTGCAGGTATGGTGAGAGGATTCACCAGAGACAGGTTGGGGAGCAGAACAGGCCAACTGATGAAGTACCCTGCTGAGGGGAGCAGCGGACAAGTCAGGAGAGGTCTGCCACGCCATGTGGTCACCTCTCCGGCGGGGATCGAGTTTATGCTGAAGTGGCCTTAGCTTCTTAGTGCTGTACTTTAACCCGCTGCACCACCAGGAAGGGCCCACAATTTTATTTTATTTTATTTTTTAATAATATAATAGTTTATTTTTACATCATTTTGTACCTTTTTTTTTTTTTCATCTCAATTGCAATTCCCATGTGCTTCCCATCACCAAGTCACCCATGTGCCATCACCATGGTCCAGTGCACTTCCCTTCCGCCACCCCACCATTTTTCATCCTATAGTTTTATTTTTTAAAAAAATCACACACACAGATAAAGTATGATGTTCAGTGGCTGTATTGCATCCCCCTCCCCAGACTTCCCGAAACAGATTGAGGTCCTGGGAGAGAGATGTGGAGGTGAACAGCCTGGAGGGCCCCAGGATGTTGGCGTGAAGGATGGAGGCGTGAGCTGGACCGGCGTGGGGTGGGCAGGGCTTCCTTTCCAGATAACATACTCCATTTAATGTCATTAAAATTCATTGTAATTTTAACAGAATTGTCCAAGAGGGAAATCATTATGCAAATACAAAAAGGAAGCGTGCAGAGGTGTCAGAAAGAGTCTGAATGAGGGGTGTGGGTGCTCCAAATACTTCTCCTCCTGCCCAGAGAGAGCCCATCATTATCCCCTTGTCTCCTGAGCCTGCTGGTGGATCCCAGAGCAAGGAAACTCGGGTCCCAGAGTAGACAACCTTGCATTGGGACTTCACGGAGCCCCGGGAAGATCCCGGAAGAGCTGTATCTGAAAGCAAGACATTCTCCATCATCATCTGGCAAAACGGCATTCCTGGCGAGACCAGGATCAGCAGAGGTGGCCTGGGCTTCCTGGGAAATTTTATGGGGTCAGCAACACCTGTGGTGACTTGTCAAAATTCTTCTCACAAAGTCTGCACCTCCTGTCCCACAGACAAAACGCAGCATCAGTCTGAAACATAACAAATCTCAATTTCCTCATTCAAGATTCTGCTTTCTGATCTGGATGGTTCCTGAAAATCAAGATCAAGGTATTGAGCTGGACTCGTGTTTCCTGGAGGTGAGGTCGTTTCAGAAACTATTTTCAAAAGTAAAAAATAAAGTAATTCCAAACACAAAAAGTGCATAACCAGATATGTCCATTCCCTGGGATAGAGGCGCTATCCCTTGGCCTGTGGCTAACTAAGCACAGAATAAAAAACACTGACAAGATGACAGCAAGCCCACACTGGCAACACACATGTATCTTCTAGACACATTTTCCCCGTTGCCTTCATGGCTGATGGAGACACCTTGTGACAATACGGAGATTTAACCCTGCGAGCACAGGCAGGCACCCTCTGGGTTTTCAGGACCCCCTGACGACTGGGGCTGTGGTCCCAACACTCTCTTGTCACCTCCATGTGACTGTGAAGGCCTGAGACCCCCGCTGCTCCCTCAAAGCCCCACAATACACTGCATTTGGGGAATCCTCTCTACACTGAAGCCATATGCCCTTGGCCTCAATTGTTAGTGGGTCACCCTGTCCAGACTCTGCACCTCCTCCAAGGGGACTGTAGGAGATACCGTGGCCAGTCTTGTCTGTAAGCCGCCGAAGCTGGTTCTCTGGATGAGGGACACGCTTATCATAGAAATATGTGACTTGGGCCCTCCCTGGTGATGCAAGGGGTTAGAGTGCAGCACGGCAAGCTGGCCACAGCAGCTTCAGTACATGTTCAATCCCCGCCTGCCCCGGAGGTGACCACATGGCGTGGCAGACCTCTCCTGACCCGCCCGCTGCTCCCCTCAGCAGTGTACTCCATCGATCTGCCTGTTCTGCTCCCCACTCTGTCTCTGGTGAAGCCTCTCACCGCACCTGCACCTCTGGCCTGTACCCCAGTTCTGTATAAATAAATAACTCAATCTTTAAAAAGAAGAAGAAATATGTGACTTCCAGAAATGAGAGGATTTGTCCTCTAGTCGTGACAGGCCCAGGAGCTGAGATTTAGGTTGACTAGGTCTACTCCCCTCCCGACTAGGTGATTGAGGCCATTTCCCACCCCCTCCCCACCACCCTCCACAG